TGGTTTCCTTATCTACTGGCAGCTGAATACAAGATACCTTTATGGCCTTCCAACTTTTGTGTTACGACTGGTTGGAGGAGAAATTTAACCAGATTTTCCAACACGTGTGCTTTAGCTACATGGCAGAGTTAGAATGGGGCAACAAATGAATGATTAAATCCATAGAATCTGAGTGGCAGTTCTTATTAATTTTTCTGATTGTTTTAAAAAAAAAAAAAATCTGGATAACTTTTTAAATGACATAATTTTTTAAAATCTCAGCATCTCTTATTACAGGACACTTAGGGTTTGTATAGATTAGGATTCAGTGTTGGGACAGTTGGATCATGTTACTTAACTCAATCTCTTATACCATCCAGAACTCTAATAGAGATTTAAATACTTGTTTTTTCTGAATTGTCTGAATTGGTTAAGTTAAAATTTTAACTCCAGTTAGCCGGAGCACACTATTGTATAGCTGCTTTGTCTTTTGATTAGCATTCTAGAAGGGGTTAATCAGATTACATTACTTAACCCAAGCATCATGTCTTTAAAGCTACAGTCGAAACAGGGACCTGAACGTGCGGTTTAATTGTAGGCTTGTCACCACAGTATCAGCTTGAGTTGTAACTTTTAGTGTTGCCTCTAACCTAAGTTCTTCACTCAGTACCTTGCTTCAAGGGTGGTGGTGCTTTTAACTTGAGTTGGCTGGCTATGAGGAATCTAGACTAAAACTTGACTTAACACAAGTAATCAGCTGTCAAAACATTTCCCCTCCTCTGAGTTCCCTTGCTCGGCTCTTCTATTGTTGTTTCTCAGCATGGCTGCTCGCCTTTAACTGAGTGACCACAAAATGAGCTTAGGGAGTTTGTCAAAAATATTCCGAGCAAAGTTAACCTAACAGAGTCAGGTATTTCTGTTCCTGTTATGCCCAAGCCACCCTGAGCCTCTTCAGAGAGGCAGGGCTATCAATCTAATAAATAAAATGAGTTCATTTGAGAGAAAATAACATGAGTTAATTCTGTGGTGAAGGCATAGGCTATGTTAAAAATGCTTCTTAATCACCAGGTTCACTCCCTGCATAGTTTTAACTGCTTATTTTAGTGAAAACATTGCTTCCATTTCTTTGAAGTTCTATGTTTTGTTTTTTACTCCTGGTTTGCCATACGGAGTTAGGAGGAATGAAGCTGCTGTTTGCTCTCGTCTAGTAATGGACTCTTTGCAACACTATTGAAGATATTGGGATTGCATAGAACTCACTGAAGGCATTACTAGGTGGCAATAGTTGCAGAGATGCCACAAGATTTCTTGTGTTGATGACTTCCTTATAAGGAAAAATCCTGGCTTGGCTCTAGGACCTCAAGCTGAATTTGTGGTCCTGGCAAGGACAATATCATTGTAACTGAAAAATGCTGTTGATTTCACTTGGATCATAAATGTAGAACCCCATAATGCTATTCTGTTAAAGTAGAGTCACAATTTATACATTTCAAACCTAGTCTTGTTTCAGGTATCATATACTATATTTTATATAAATGGACCAAAAATGAAAAACAATGGCAGACTACTGTAACTTTTTTTTAATGGTAAAACATCTTGCAACTAAATGTTTTTAGTTTTGATACAAGTATTGGTTCCTTATTTCCACCCAGTGTCCTTAGAGTATTGAGAAACAGCTTAACTTAAAGTATATTTTTAAATATATGGTAAATGAGTCATCCACAACAGGAGAGAAATTGAATTCAGTGAGCTCCTCAATGCTGCTGAGCTTCCTCTGCTTGATTTTGTTTGTTTGTTTGTTTGTTTGTTTGTTTGTTTTTCTCCCCCCCCCCTTTTTTTCCCCCCATCAACCTGTGACCTTTGTTTAAAACATAATGATATTTTTCCTGCTGTTTGTAGGTGCTCCAGACCCAACAGCAGGTGCTAGCATAGATGATGAAAACTGCTGGCACTTGGATGAAGAACAGGTCCAGGAACAGGTTAAACTCTTCCTTTCCCAGGGTGGATACCATGGATCAGGGAAGCAGCTCAATTTGCTTTTTGCAAAGGTAGGACTTGTATTTGAATATTCCTAAACCATCTTCCTTCTGGTTTCTTTTAGGTAGTCCAAATGTAATTGGCTGCTTAGTCAAAGTGTAGTTAACTATAAACTAAGTTAAACCATAGGAACATGAAAGCCAGACTGATTACAAATACTTTTCACATAGTGGAGACTAGTTTGCTCAAAGTCAGTTTGCTTATGTGCTGTAAGAAATTGAAATAGCATCTCAGCATTTACCAACCCTCCTCCCTTCAGGGTTCTGGAAACCTGTTCATTGCTCTTGTAAATTATAACATCTGTGGGTTACTTGTTAAAAATTGTCTTGAAGAAAAATTGCAGTGAGATATTAAAAGTGATCTAAAATCAGTCTTAGTGCTGCAGTGCAGATACTTCATATGGTTCTCCCATAGCCTGCAATTGGTTCCCCAGAACATCCTTTGCTTGTATTGGGTCAGTGTTGTTCCCAGGCTAATACTATAGTTTTGTAACTGTTTTGTTGCAGGTGTGGCTGTCTCTGCTCAGTGCCACTGAGAGAACTGGGAGTGAGCTGAGGGAGTAGAGAAAGGGTAGTTCCAGGGAAGACATAGTAGAGTCCAAGGAAAGACAGAGGGACCAGTAGTGGAATAAAGACTGTTTAGAGTTGGGCAGTCCAGTGTGCTGTTTGGGATGTCTGCACTCTGACCATAATTGTAATAGTTTAAATATATCCACTTTAAAGGAAATAGGGACTAAATAAAGTGTATAAAACTTCAAACTTTCATACATTTTCAAATATGCCTTAAGGGACTTATTTTTCCTAGGTGCGAGAGATGTTAAAGATGAGAGACTCTAATGGAGCTCGCATGTTGACGCTGATAACAGAACAGTTCATGGCTGACCCTCGGCTGTCACTTTGGAGGCAACAAGGAACTGCAATGACTGACAAGTATCGGCAGCTCTGGGATGAATTGGGTAAATGCACAGAATGAAAATAACCTGGAATTTGTATGCATACAAAAAATGAAGAAGCCATTGAACAGTTAAAGTGGTGGGGAGGGGGATGCAGGCTTATAGTGGTACTGAGTAAAAAAACAAGAGCTGGAATTCCCTGCAAGCTTAATTGCTCCATTGTGGGGAATGTAAATGGTGTGAATTTCTGTCCTAATAAAAAGAAAAAAAGTCAATGGAAATAGGAGTACCAAGGATGAGTATAGGGGAACAGAAAAGCACCTGGGGTTAAAATCCAGAAAGCTAGAACGTAAAATGAGGTTACAACTACCAGGGGACATAAAAGGTTCTCCAAATACTACATTTACTCTCATACCATAGGCACCTTTTCCGCCCAAAAATCAGCTCTCCGAAATGGTCAGGTGTTTCTTAGGCAGGAAAGCAGATTTCTGCACTGGGATTGTAGCATGGGGATGCTAAAATATGGCAGCCATGTGTTGTGCTTCTCCCAGCCCAGGAGGGATGGGTACAGTGCATCCTTCAGGGTCTCGGTTAATTTTATTGTTGTCACAGTTGCTGCTGAATTATCAGTAGCTTTTGTCTGAGTAGCCAAAAACTGCTATCAATTCTGCAGTTTTATATTTGTCACAGCTACTGCCATTCTGAGGCTGCAGCTAGAGACTGAGTGACACAGTTGCCTTGGCCCCTCCTGCCTGGGGCCAGCATTCAGCCATGTTGAGCCTATGCTGTGGAAAAATCTTCTTTTCTTTATTCTAACTTCTCAAACAAGGTGTGTGTCTTATTTGTGGGAAGTTGGGGGTGGGGAGTGGGGGTGGTTTGTGCTAAAATACAGGTACATTAGAAAGAAAAGTATATGTCTGTTACTTAACAAGGGAGTAGTGCAAATAACATGGTACAGGAAGAATGAAATATTTGATGCCATCTTTGCTTCAGTCTTTATCAAGGAAGTTAATTGGTCCAAATACTTAACACCAAACTAAGGAAAGAACAGGTTAAAAATATTGATAATGTAGATGCATTCAAGTTGGCAGACTTTTCTGGGTGAAACTGCAGCAGTACTTGAGGCAGTCTCTAAACTAGTGGTTGTCAAGTTGTTTGCTGTAGTGGGCCACACTTGCAGCTCTCAGTGTGTTGTGGGTCGTGGCACCCACACAACTTACTTGCAGTGTATTCATTTAAGAACGTCTTAACAGGAAGTAACATAGGCCGCAGCAGTGTGCTGATAGGGCCGCATGCAGGCCATGGGTTGAGAACCACTGCTCTAAACCCTTAGTAATTTATTTTAGGAACTTTTGAAGGACTGGGTACATCCAAGATTATTGGACAAGGGCAGACATAGCATATGTCTTTACAAAGGGGAAAAAAGAGCACGGAGAACTGTAGACTTAATTCTTGAAGCCCAACAAGATGCTGGAACAGATGACTAAACAATTAGTTTTTAAGCAGCTAGAGAATAATAGCGACATGGAACAGCCAGCATGAATTTGTCAAGAACAGAGGATGTCAAAACAATATAATATTCCTTCTGTTACAGGATGACTTGGTTAGTGGGGGAAGCAGGTAGATGTGATATCTTGGCTTCAGTAAGGCGTGTATGACAGTGTCATAAGCAAACTAGAGAAATACGATCTAGATTATGACTGTCCAGCTGGTGGCCACAGGCCACCTGTGCCATGTGATGGACTACCTTGCAACTCCTGGGCTCCCACCAGGCTTCACCTGCCCATATCACTCCAGCTGCAACAGGGCTCCCCATCCCTCTTGCAGCTTCCATGCTCTGTATCTGCCTGAGGAAGTAGTTTGGCACAGCAGGCTGCAGGGTTCTCAAGGTGGGGTGTGCGTACATGGATGTACACTGCCGGGGAGGGGGAAGGCGAGGAGTGTCCCTGCAGGGTTGTTGCAGTACTGGGTGGAGGTGTGTTACAATGAGAAGGGAGCTTCTGTGTGGCATGCATCCTTCAGCTGCTTAGACGTTAGACGCTCCGATCTAGATGAAGTCCGTGTAAGGTTATTGCATAGCTATCTTATAACTGCACTCAAAGTACTTAATGGTTTGCTGTCAGACTAGGAAGGTGCTTCAGGGGGATTCTGAAAAAATTCTTTCTGGGCCCGTTTCTAGTGGATATTTTGATTACTAATTTTGGATGATTTAATAAAGAATACACTTAAAATCTGCAGCTGTTATAACCCCATCCCCCAACAGAGAGGCAGCTGCAAGTACTGAAAAGGAAAAGAGCAGCATTCAAAACAAGTTTGATAAATCTGAGAGAGTCTGAAATCAGCAAGATGAAATTCAGTAAATGTAAGTGGAAGGCACTATGCTTGCGAATCAAGCATTGCATACTTAAATACAAAATGGGGAGCAACTGGGTAGACAGCAGTAGTGCAGGACAGGCTCTGGTGGTTATAGCGGACCACAAACTGAGTCACTGTAATAAAGCTGCAAAAGGCAAATCTTTCTGGGATGTATTGGTACAAATATTGCATGCAAGGCACAGGAGGGAATTATGTTTATTTGGTGCTGAGGCCTCAGCTGGAATACAGTTCCTGTTAGGGACTGCAACTTTTAGAAACGTATCTAATGCACTGCAGTGAGTGCAGAGGACAGTAGCAAGAATAAGAGGCTTTGAAAAAATTGCGCTACGAGGAAAAATAGAAGGAATTGGGCGTTAGTATAGGGGAAAAAATGATGGGGGAGATGTAGTAAATCTTGTCCAATGTTTTTAAAAGAAAAAAGTTTTCAGTATTTGCTGGTGGGCAAAGATGAGTAGTAACTGGTTTAATTTGTTGGG